ATGACCATTTTATTACTATTATTATTATTAGAGGTACAGGGGATAGAACCCAGGACCTCACACATGATAGGCAAGTGCTCTACCACTATACTACATCCATGGCCTTTTTACCTTAAAAAAAAAAAACAGTGGTTATGTACCTGTGCCATGTGGGGGTATGTGCACGAGTGCAGATGCCCATAGAGGCCAGAAGAGGGCATCAAATTCCCTGGAGCTGGCGTTACTGGCAGTTGTGAGCAGCCCATGGTGGGTGCTAGGAACCAAACTTCAGTCCTCTACAAGAGCAGCAAGCACTCTTAGCCAGTGAGTGTCTCTCCAGACCTGCCTTTTTCTTATTTTGCAACAGGGTTACTCTGTGTGTAGCTCTGGCTGTCCTGGAACTCACTCTGTAGACCAGGCTGGCCTTGAACTCACAGAGATCCTCCTGCCTCTACCTCCTGAGTGCTGGGATTAAAGGCTATGCCAACCACCCACTTCCAGCCCTTTCTTTCTACCCTACAGCCAATCTCATTGAATTTCCCCCGGTATCTTTTAATCTGACTCCCACTGAGCATCACTGTGTGGCCCAAGATTCCCACTGCTCATCAGCCCCAGCACGTACCCTCCTCCCGGGCAGGCTCAAAGGCGCAGGCCCACAGCTGAGTCTCCAGATCCTTCGGGCTGTTGTTTTTGCTATGGCACTGCAGGAAGTGCAGGGGTTCCAGGTGTAGGGCAGCCTGTGGGGGTACAAACGGTTCCAGTTGCCACTTGGCCTGCTCCCTCTGGCACCCTCCCTCTGCCGTCCGGAGATCTTACCTGGCTTCCATCAGACTCCACCGGTGTACCCTCCATCTGGGCTGGGGAGGCGAAACACACTCGCTTGGTGGAAGGGAGGTCAAGTGGGATGTTACCTGGCCGCTTTGAGGCCACCGTTCTGGCCTGTGGAAGGTGGGGGGGACTTGCATCCATGCCCGAAGGGTTTCCTCCCTTGGCTACAGGCTGAACTACACCCTCTCCAAAGAATGAAGAATGAAGTGGCAAGAACCAAGCCACCGTCATAGGGGGAGCTTGGCCTGTGTTTAGGGCTGGACACTTAAAATGTTCTCCAAGGGTCAAAGGTTGAAAAGCTGCCTCACCAGCCTGCAGCCCCACTCAGTACAGTATAGGGGAAAGGACTTAGCACTGGGAGGCGTCCCTTTGAGGGGACATAGGGACACTGGCTGCCACGATGTTCACACACATTCTTACTCTGTCAGCTCACACTATCAACAGCCTTGGAGCCGAGCAGCTATGGACTGAAACGAACCTTTCCTACCCGCGAGCCGCAGCAAGGGCTAGCTAACATACTCGGGCATCACCTGAGCTCACGCAGAGACCCTCTGCGGTCCGGCTCCCCTGAGCTCA